TTTATAATCATTCTTTGATTTAAGTATTACTATATTTTATTAATTAATTTTTTCTATTGCTTCAATGAAATTTCACTTTACATATGCTGTTTGGTATAGTTCTCTTAATCTTTTATAAACTATTTTCGGATTGAAACATGTAAAATCATTTTTAAAAATGTTTATAAGCCAAGTGATATATCTAATTTACAAATAATATACAGTGGAACCTGGTTAACTCGAATCGGGAAAAGATTAATCTATAAAACTGAAATAGCTGTATGGGAAATTCCGTGAACTTTCACCTATCGACCGGGAAGTTTCGCCAACACCTCACGGTTAACGAGAAAGGCTTAAGTTTAAAATTTGAGCTTTCTAAACTCAGTTTCTTTCCTGCGCGAGCGTTTACAATGCCGGATGAAGAAGAAGAAAATATAGCTTTTTTGTCAATGTTTGCACTTTTCAATTGCTTATATTTCGGCAACCGCTTTATACAAAATCTTGAAATTTTGCACACAATTTAAGAAAAAAATAACCTTTCGAATGAGATATTACAAATTACTTAAAACGTTCGGGGGCGGAAAAATCGATCTTTGAAAATCGGCAACTTTGATTCCTGTATACTGTATATACAGTCAGTCAGTAACATTTTTCCTTGGTGGGGAGTCATTGCCATGACTTTCGATCAGAAACTTTCTGTAAAGCGTGGAACCAAGTACGACTAAAAATAAATTTCGTGTTATGTGACAACGGACGTGACTTAGATATTGTAACTACCATTCAAACCTGCCTTTTTTCGAACATTTTTACTTTCACGGCACTGTTATATATGGCAGAGGAAAAGTATGGCAATCGATCGAAATGAGCTCCCAAGAATTTTACACTTTTTATCTTAAAACGTCAAAAAATGAAAAAAAAAGTCGGGGGTTTCTATATGTATGGATAATAGTGCGTGGGGGGCACAATTTTGTCCATACTGTTTAAAGCTTAATAACTCCTGTGTTTTTGTCTAAAATTTCTGAAATTTTGCAGAAAGGTTCGTGTATTAGAGGAATTGATGCTATTAAATTTTTATGGTTAAAGATCGACGGGATGGGGAAATAAAGGGGGATCGTGTGTCGTACCTTCTGTAGAGTCGGACTTAATGACAATTATACTCATTATTAGAATTTACAATTTTTTATAAAACCCATCCCTACTCTCAATATTAAGCTTTTTGCCATTTTATAACAATTAAAAATGTAAACAATTTTTTAAATGAAATATCATAACAAATAGCAGCAGCAGAATTTAAAATGTTGCTGGGAAAGTTAAACAATTCATTGCTGGATTTTTTTACATTTAAATGGACCCCCATTATATTTCTGGATTCCTTGTCTCAATTCATGGAAAATGGCAAAGCTTTATCAAAATCTATCTAACATTTTGAGAACAAACAGAATTCTGTAAGCCTCAGAGAAGAAGCTTTGCTAACGCTCCACTTCAATTAAAGAAAATTTAATAGCATTATAGAAAACATTAGTCTTCTTTAACTGATATTTTCTATTTCTTCTATTGGACTGATAAAGAGTGAGTACATTTTTTTTGGGACACCCTGTATGTAACAATCTGGTGGTGGCTTGATGTATTGTAGCACCACCACCATTGTCTTCTAGGGGTGTACTCCATACAAGTCATGGACAACAGAATAGAAAATACAACTTCTGTTGGTGTTCTTGTTGTTCTTAAGCAACATATAAATTAACAATTCTTCAAATTCTAACTGGATGATTTATTAGTACTTAAAATCTCTCTAACCTCAAAAATTAGGCTAGCAATTGTCAAATCTTCATAAATGAAAACTTTCTTCAGAGTAGGCTGAAAACATTAGAAAGGTGATAATTTTGACAACTGCTGGACTGATTTCAAGGTAGTGAGATTTTATGCACTTACATATAAATTGTGGAATGCCTCTTGAATGTTAATGCTACATTGTTTATTCTAGCAATATCCCTATAGCACTAACTGTTGTTATAAATTATGATTTTATATTGTCAGGCTTCCTTTTCTTGTCTCTGTGTGTATCTAGTACTCTTTAATGAGCCCTTCTGGGTTGGTACCAATGTTGGTACCAGGCTGACCCAATGCTGTTGATATAATCAGTTCCTCCCTCCTGTTCATGTGACATCAGATAAATGCATGTTCATTCTCTTTATAAGGGATCTAAAACATGTCAGTTTAAACATAAAGGGATCATGTGAATGCACTGGTATGAAGACTGGCTAGTAGGATGGTTTTCAATATAATAGATGGAAAATCCCAGCATACTGATGTCTAAAAAGTGTATCTCCATGTGATGCACCTGTTCTAAATTCAATGTGAAAACATAAGGGGTGTTAAAAGCATACAAAAAATGCTTGCATGTCAGGTTTACTCCTCCAAATGGTAAGATCATCATCTACATATCTTGAACAAACCTCTATGTTATGTTTGAAAGGAGGTAGAATGTTGTCTTCCAGGTTTTCCATGACTAGTTCACATGGTGTTCATGAAAGGAGGCTATCCATGGGTACCCCTCTGCTTCCAGGTGTAATTAGGACAAATGGCATGCTAAGTTCATTGGTCTAAAATGTCCTTATAGTAAGTTGTTGGGGTCCAGTATGTATTCCAAGGAAAAAAATATAAAGAATACAGAAGCATGGTTCTACTAAACAAACTTTTTGGCCAACCCAATATTTCTGACTATACTATCAACAACCAACCAGCTTAACCTTTAGTCCAAATTTCATATCTTTACAATTAATTAGCTATATTATATCTTGAATAAAATCCAGCCATATATGACTAGGACATCATGTGACTTTGTTGTATCGCAACAGAATTGAGTGGTGCTGGAAAGAAAGAAGCAATCTGCACTTGTTAGGCACAGAAGAGATGATCCACCTCTTATGTGCCTAACAAGTGCAGGGATCCTTGTACCTGCTGTCCTATTTTCAACTGCCCAATGCTTGATGCTGAGTGGCAAAATTTAAAGATTATAATCAACTCTTGGGGAAAGGATTGGCCCTGTAGTTGCAACGAGTTGATCAACGAACGTTCCACTTACGTTTACTTCAATACTATAAACTTGCAGCTCTCCACGTCTCAACTAGCACCTCCTAGCAACATAAATACCGCCTCTTATATCTTATTCATATTGTTACGCAATTCCATTTATGTATTTGACCTTTCACATGTACTTGTCTTGTATATCGTGTTCCAATTCAACGTCTTGTATATAAAGTCATTCTTATTTGTTACGCGATCTCTAGTATGTAATTAAACTGCTTTGCATATCATGTTATGTATATAGTGCTCCGTATCTACAGTCCCATCTTTTATTTCATACCTTGTATATAATTGATTTGTATCGAATATCATGTTATGCTATGTTACGCTATCAAATATCATGTTATGCTATGCTACGGCAATAAAGAACTTGANACACCGATGAGTCATTGTTTACACAGCTGGATGACCTTGAGAACAGCTGGTGTCGTATTTCCCGGGACATTCTCAGACGTCTCGGGAGGAGAAGGGTTTAAAGTAGGGTTAATACTAGCTAGACCTATATATTTTTAAATATTTTTAAAAAATTAAAATTTTAATTGCGATTTCCGACCTCCCCCCCCGATTTAATTAAACTTATATATAATAAAATATATTAATTAAAAAAATTAAAAATTTATTGGAGGTCGTTTTTGACATCAGAAAGTAGCTTTAAATAACTTTACCGAAGTCAAATCCGTGCACTACAACTTTAGAACGATTAATTAAATTTGATAAAAAAAATCACATTAAAAAACAATTAAGCGTTAATCGCGCGTCATTAAAGGTAAATTAAAATCGCGATAAAAGTTTTTTGCGCGGGTAAAAATTTTTGAAAAAATTTGGAGACTTAAAAAACATTCCAAAAATAAAAAAGAAAATTTGGGGGGCCGAAAGGACCGCGTTTTCTGTAACGCTATGTAACCTTTCCGAGTTAACTTGGGTCCGGACGTTATTAAACACTATTGACATTTTAATTTAAGAGTAATTATTAGTTTTATCGATCAAAGCACCTAATTTTAATAATTTTTTACATAAATATACTGTAATTATGTAAAAATATTTACTAAAGTGCGAGGATACTGAGAGCATCTAGATATTTACCGCTTATAGATTAATTTTAATAAGCAATTACGCCTTCATATAAATCAATTTATTGAAATTCTAATAAAGTATTTTATTATTTATTGTCTACACTTGTAAATAGATTTTATATGTGGCTGCCCGAGGGAATATAATAATTACTTAAATATTGCTTATATTAATTAAGCAATGTCTAACCATAGTGTCTAATAATTTAACTACGAGAATATTTATTTACCACGATAAATTAATTTCAAGCATTTTTTAAACTAATAAAATTTAAAATAATTCTGATAACTCATAAAATTTTAAAACTATTTTCCCAAAACAGAAATACGATAATGACGATAATCTCGAATTTAATATGTCGTAGATGATGTAATTCTCGATAGTGTTGTTTATCCCTTTTCTCATTTTTATGGAAAAACATTATACGAGAAGACAATTAAATGACCTTTTTATGATGGCCGGATGGCCGAGCGGTTAAAGCGACAGCTTACCGCTCTGGGGACACGAGATCAAATCATATAAGTCGAAAAACCGAGGAATTTTCGAGTGAAGTGCTTTCGGATACGTCGGAAATGTTTTATTACATGCATAACACTGAACACATTACGGTTACATGATATAAATCAACTTTTATTCATTTTAAACAAGCCAGAATCATAGTTAAGGCGACTGCAGGGTAAGCAATGAAGAATGACGTACAAACCCGAACTACCCGTGATAAATTACAATAGTAGGGATTGTATTCGCACCCAAATCGTCTATAGCGGTAGACTAACGTCATGTCGCGCGGCCGTTTTTCCTTGAAAATACGGCTTTATATAAATGAGGAATAAATTATAAAATTAGTAATTATCTTATTTTAGGAAAATATTCTTGCCTCGAGGGTCGGATAAGTTTGAAAAGAAGAAGTGGATATTATATCATTAACATTTATATTCCCAGTACATTAATCGTTTTGATGTCCATGCTAACATTTTGGATTCCACCGGAAGCAGTTCCTGCCAGAATTACTCTCGGTGTTACAAGTTTATTGACAATTGTTACGAAACAGTATCAGTCTTCTTTGCCGTCAGTTTCTTATATAGTTGCTCTCAACATATGGATGTCTACCTGCATCGGGTTTGTTTTCTTTAGCCTTGTTGAATACGTACTTGTGGTATCATTAAATGTTGAAGTCAAAAGTCAAATTATAAGTATTATAGGACCCACAAAGGTAATGTATTGATAAATAATACATTAATATTTAAAACTTGTTAATCGTTAAGTAAATAGATTTTTAAAATACAGGATGTTCATAATTAAAATTCTTATTTCAAAAAAAAAAATATTATTCAGGAACTGGCCAGAAACATGATTCCATGTTTCAGAGGAGATTTCTATGGTGATGGAATTTTATTCAAAAATAGAAAAAAATTAGTTACAGAAATGGTCGCTAGGGCGGTAAATGGTGCCGTAGCACAGTAATGGATAGCACTCAAAATATCTCTACACAGTAGCACTCAAAATATCTCAAAACTTTTATACACAGGTAAAACTGTGTATAAAAGTTTTGAGATATTGTGTGGTTACGCAACAGCATGTTCGAAATGTTAGCTGCGAAACTCTGCATATTGTGGTTGAACATATGTTTTGGGTATTTTAGCATATTGCCGACAACGGAGGTCAGCATATCGATTATTCTGTTGCATACCACACATTATATCATGTGTATAATAAGTTTTGAGACATTTTGTGTTATACATTACATGTGCTACAGTGCCATTTATCGCACTAACGACCATTTCTGTAACTAACTTTTTAAATAAAATTTCATAACCACAGAAGTCTCCGTGAGAATTATGGCATTATTCAGCTAACCGGTTCACGACTTATATCTTTTTGAAATATGAATTTTAGGATTACAGAACAGTTTATATTTTACAGAATTGTATGTTAATATTAAATATTTTAATTTATTTTTAGTTTTTTCATAGAATATTAATAATTCGAAAAATAAAAATTATTGTAAAAATAAGTGTTTAGAATAACACAATCTTTCAAATAATTGTAACAAAAATATTTAAAAATTAAGTTGCTTGTTTATTTGAGTCATGGAGTGGCCATATTTAGTCCAGTTGCTACTATTCTACTCATTGAATGTTGTGAGTTTTAATATTTTGCATTAAAAAACGCCCATTGTTGCGCTATTGTGGGATAAAACGCATAAATAACTACTTTATACCATTCATAGAAATTATTTCAAAGTAGAGTAAAGGAGACTAAATATGGCAGTACTGCACAATTTTGATAAACTGTAGCCCTCTGGTGGTTTAAATATTTTTGTTCCACACCAAAAAATTTATTTTGAAAATTATTGCTGTGATAATTTACTTTTACGTGATTTATACTTTCTGAAATTAATTATCTAAGTTACACAATTATTTTATATATTTTATTTATATTTTATTTCGTAAATTCTTAAAATAAATTTTATTTATTACAGGAACCTCCCGTAACTCAGAAAAAGACAAATGCTAGACAAATAGCTTGGCAAGAGAAGAAAATAAAGAAAAAATTTGATAGTAAAATTATCGACAAAATATCTAGAGTAGCCTTTCCAATATTCTTCCTCATGCAATGTATTTTCTATGGAACTTATTACGAAGTTTTCCATTTTACTCCTGTAAATACGTAACTCAAAATTAACTTAAAACTTCATTTTCGTAAATAGTTTTCAAATAAGTTATTATATCGCTTGTCATGATCAACCAGTAAACGCGAAATTACAGGATACACCCATTAAGCTATTAGTCCTATAATGACAATTAACCATTACCATATAATTTTAGTAATCCGACATATATGGAACCGGGACATTGTCGGATTAAAGAAATTGTTGGATTATTAAAAGTAACATTCTTCAATATCGTACCTAAGAACGTGAAATAATGTTCACATTTAAAGGAAATTTAGAGTTTGAATTAGTGGAAAACTTGTCTACGATTCGGCAAGTGTCGGTAATACCATAGTCTACTAGTGTCGGATTACTGGAAGTGTCAAATCAGCAAACGCCGGGATTATTGAGATTGTACTTTATAAAACATGTAATTATTAATTAATGAGTACTATAATTGGTCCATTACGAATATATAGCTACAGTACGTTATGATTTTATGCCCATTACGGATCAGTTAAAGTATTAGTAAAGAATGGGAAATGACGCCACGACTCAAACGATTAAAATTGAAGCTTCCATGTCGAGTTCTAATCCAAACTCTCACACAGTTGACTAACTCTATTTCGAATAAATGAATTGATTAAAAAAATTATTTAAAATGTAAAATAGATATGAAAATTTCATATAAATTATTTTAGAATAAATAAATTAAATAAAAGATGAAAAAATTAATTAAATTCCGTAGGAAATAAGTTACATTTCTGCACAATAACAAATTAAAACACTAAAGAATAAACAAAACAAAAAGAAAACACGTACAAAAAGATACACAGGAATCATTTCTAATTGAAGGGAAGCGAATTAATACTTCGGAAGGTCAGAAAATAAAAGTAAATTTAAAAACTTTTAAAAATACTATGGCGAGAAAAATCCGGATATTTCTCTTTCTTTAATTTAGAATATTGTTTTGTGGTCGGAAATGTGAACTTGTTGCCCAAAACTGAACAAAATTTCCAAAAAAGTAAATGAACAAACTATAACGCAATAACAGTAAAAGGAGTAAAGTTTTTCAGATCTTTCAAAACGGGAAGATAATGAAGATTGATACAGAGAAAGGTAAAGGTATATTTCCAGGCAATCTTTAAATATAACAGCAACATGCAACTTTTACTTTAGAGGAGTAAAGTATCTAATACGGAAACACGTAAAGTACACTATTAAGTTGTATTCAAATAGACATACGTAACGTAACGTGAGAGGCATTACGCGATGTTGTTATACAAGGAAGACATTTTGAGAGCAACAACGGATCGATTCCGAGTCTATTTTAACGGAAAGAATTCTATATTCGGCCAATCAAAATTGTCCCATTATTCCGTGCGCTCACAGGAACGACAGGAGGAAAATTATGAAGAAAACACACTGAAAAATAAGAAGCTTTAAAGGACTTGTTCAGCTTTACAAATTTCGTTTTTTACTCTTTACCTCATATGAGATATTAAACAAAATAGACACCAACAAACACATGCGTATGCATCCCCGGAAAATTTTTATCCTTTATTTTTGATTTTTTTGGGTTCAGGTAATCTCAATATGTCGAGATTTGATAAAACCCAGAGGGTCAATTTGACACAATTACAACATTTTCCCGTGTTACGTTATAACAAACGAGAAAAGTAAAACAAATTATTGAAGTAGAAAAAAGTCCCATTTTATACAACCCTGGGGTAAAGGATTATAATACGTTGCTACTTGATTGATTTACCCTAAAAGTTAATGTGCTCATATACACGCAACTTAACAGAACGGAGAAACACGACCTTGTCAAGAAGTGCCTTTCTGAACGTAACTTTCGACCAAGTAAAAACAGAGTAAGCGTCGTAAGATAAATTCAAACGATAATATTTGAAAGAACAGAATGAGCCAAATTACTTTTTTTCTAAAATCCTCTAAATCCTATTGCTATTCATCTTTACTCCTGACAATACACAAGAACGATTCAAACGACCCAGATAAAATACTCATGTTTTTAAACACCAGAAGGTGAGAATCCGGTTAAAAAAAAATGCGAATACACAATTTAAAAAAATTGCAAAAACGAAAAGAATCCTTCGCTCGTGCGTATAGGAAGACCTAGGTTTTTGAAGCAGTGAAAAATGAATAAAAACCCCGTCTTATATGCGAGTAAATACGGTAACTAGAGAAGCGGTAGTGGAAACATTTTCATTGGCAACTTGAAGCCATCCAAGGTTGTATGTACCTCAGGGCGTTCCACCATATTGATTTTTAGTAATCAAAGGGTAAAGAGACAAATATGTGTTTTTATACTTTAAATTAACGTATATCTGCTCAGATAAGACGAGGTATAAATTTTCGTCAAAGTTTTATAGTTTTAGCATATATCTATCCTATAAGACGACCCCCAAACTGTCAACGGCCTATGAATTTAGCTATGATCAGCGATTATCATATGGATAACAATACTGCATAGCATATACGGAATTATGTCCTATTCGTAATTTTTCGAATGAACAAATTTTATTTTCTTGCATCTGACAGTATCATCTGCCTCGTGATTATTGCAAACATTCTCACTGATTCGGGCATTCGGGTAATGACCTTGACTATTCACAAAAACGCCGTATGAGCTATTTAAGCTTTATAAGGTTGATACTTTCGAACACAGTCTTTTTTTTTTTCAAACAAGTACCGCCATCTATGTCAGGTCGGGTACTTCTGGGACGACCCTCGTATTTTATCCTTTTCTATTTACTTGTAAAAATAAATAAATGTGTAATTTGTATAAATGTGTTAGTTAATTACAAAATCTTTCTTTTAACATGCTTAACTCGTTTCTTAAAAAATATTTAAATTTGTCGGGTCAATAGAAAAGAGTGACGAACTTCATAAAGAAAACAAAAACTTTGTATTTTGCCTATTGTTCATCTCTCCTATCACTCGGATGTCCGGTGCTCAGTCGACTGTGTCCCGAAAAAAGCACAGAACGACAAAATTGGAAACGCTTTAAAATTTAAAAAAAAATGCACTTTTTTANCGTGCCCCGAGCGCCAGTTATGTTCGCTACTCTACTGACCAAAGGGGCGCCATAATAGGATCTCGCTCCATCCTAAAACTTGCCTCGGGCCGGCACTGAGTATAACAATAATAAAGAGTGGTATTTATGGTAAAAAATAAAAAAGATCTATTCTAGGCACAGTGGCGTAGCGTGGGTGTCAGCCGCACGGGGCGGAGGGAAATTTCGCCCCCCCTTATTTGGGTATCTCAATTTAAAAGACTAAAATTCAGTTTTGTCACAGAACAAGTAATGAAAAATTCCGTGTTGCTACTTTTTAAAATCCCTGACCCGGACGGCAGGTGAGGTTAGTTCGAACAGAAGTCCCCGACGGAATGTCATTTTGCAATGCGAAGAATAATGTGCAGTGCATGCTGGTTCTAAATCAGTTATATACGAATAAATCGTAGAAGCAAAAAAATAAAAAATAATAAAAAGGTCGACAGGTTGCGCAAGATATCCCCGGACTGTCCGGATGGTAACACTATTCCATGCTCATTTCAGTCTGAATCGTAAGTNGCTGCCGACCCCATTGTAAGGCAGCAATATAAAAGAGAATGTATCAGAGAAGAAGTAATAAAAATCTGCATAAAACAGCAGATTTTTATATATATTATTGACGATTTAAGAATGAACATTTTCAATTTCTATCGTCATAATTTTTTATATATTAAATATAATATGTCTAAAAATTGATTAAGTGGAATACATTTTAAGATTATATCGCGGTTAACTGACTTTTGAGCCACCCGACTTTTAGACAGAAAACTTTAGTAAAAATCGAAACAAATTCGATAATTGTAGCTTCAATTTTTATGTTGAAACATTAATTAAGATATATTTCTTGATAGCGGGATAGCTGAGGCGGTTAAAACATTGGCTTATTGCTCTATGGATCTGGAAACTAATCTGGACCAGCAAGCAACTCCTCAGGAATTTTTCTGAGGTTGTCTGTCCCGGATATGTCAAACTCTGTTCCTCACTGCCACCTTTATAAGTCTGACCAAACTCACCATGAGCGTGATTAATTAATTAAGAGGCCCTTTTTGTACTCATAAGGTGGAAAGAGACAAGAGGAAAGGGAAAAAGATATATTTCTTAACCACTTGCCGTACGAATGTTTTTAAAGGAATTTTTAATTAAACATAAAAAATACTTAAAACTGAAAAAAAACGAAAGAAATGCGTTAATTTTGAAGAAAAAGCTTCAAAGTTTAACTTCCTTTGTCTCGCCTTTCTGTGAAATTTGACACCGATGAGTCATTGTTTACACAGCTGGATGACCTTGAGAACATCTGGTGTCGGATTTCCCGGGACATTCTCATAGATGTCCCATGGAGGACAAGGGTCTAAAGTAGGGTGAATACTAGCTGGCGGTATATTTTTAAATAATTTTAAAAAATTAAAATTTTAATTGCGATTTCCGACCTCCCCCCCCGATTTAATTAAACTTATATATAATAAAATATATTAATTAAAAAAATTAAAAATTTATTGGAGGTCGTTTTTG